AAAAATTTAAACTAATACATACTGACTTTTAAATATAATATACATAAATTCATATATAAATAAATCTCTATCATGTTTCAACATCTCCAACAAACGCTGTTGAAAAATAAATTACAACGTTATACCAGTCATTTTCAGCAAGATAAACATACATGGATCCACCTCAAGCTGACGAGGTCTGATATCCATTCTACCTGTCCTTGTGCATCAATCATCATCAAATACGCGAGATCGATTCATCTTTTTTTGTTTTTTTCGATGAGACATAGAACCTATGTTTCCTTCTTTGTTTTTTTTTTAACAAGAGGTAATATCTACCTAACCAACTTGTTCAACTATCCTAATTAGCAGGAGAATCTATTTATACTCACATTTTATTCCCCGCAGATACACAAAGCACAAAGCACTTCTCCTTCACCTAATTCATCAGCATTGTGTCTTCCATTTCCATCTCAATGGGTTCCTTCCCGCTAAACGATTTATTTCTTCCTCGTGATGCCTTGTTCCTTGGATTCGATAGCTCTACTCAGTAAGTCTCTGATCAATCTCTATATCTTCCATTTTCATTATTCAAAGATTTTTTTGTTATCTTCATTCTTATTAATAACTCTTTTGACCAGAAGATTGAACATCACATTTGCATATCAACCACAATTATGCTTATACTTTTATCCTAATACAAAATTTGTGCTTTACAATTTTGCCCATAAAAACTTAATTATCCTTTATGCCGTTCCGCCCTTCATATCATCTATAGTATCTCCAATTGGGTTTTTGTAATTTAGTGGATAACTTGATATTTTGTATTCTTCCAAGGTCCTTGAAGGCAACCGTGTTGGATTCCAATCTCAACATTGTTACTTCGCAGCAAGTTCATTTTCACTCTGAATTGCCTCATTACAAGACACAGGATGGAGTTTATAGAGACCCCTCCATTAATGGCAGAATTGTCTCCCCCACCTTGATGTGGGTTGAGGCTTTAGATCTTGTTCTTCAAAAACTCTCCAACTCCAATCTTGATTTCGGAAAAATTGCTGCTGTTTCTGGAAGTGCACAGCAACATGGCAGTGTCTACTGGAAGAATGGAGCCTCTGCAATGTTATCATCGTTGGACTCTAGGAAGCCATTAGTTGATCAGCTTAGGGATGCTTTTTCAACCAAGGAATCACCCGTTTGGATGGACAGCAGCACCACAGCACAGTGTAGAGAAATAGAGAAAGCAGTTGGAGGAGCATTGGAGTTGTCTAAACTTACCGGATCTCGTGGTTATGAGAGATTCACAGGCCCGCAAATTAGGAGGATGTTTGAGACGCAGCCAGATGTTTATAAGAATACCGAGAGAATCTCTATTGTTAGCTCTTTCATGGCATCTCTTTTGATTGGGGCATATGCGTCTATTGATGAAACTGATGGTGCAGGGATGAACTTGATGGATATAAAGCAAAGAATCTGGTCTAAGATTGTTTTGGAGGTTCGTTTTAGCATATATCAATTGGTTTTTTTCGTAGGCTCTTGTTTATTCCCTGATTCTTGTTTGTTGATTTTTCTTGAAAGTTTGAGGCTTTTGGTATAATTAATGTTTGTTGTTAATTACTGTCTGCTGCAGGCTACTGCACCAGGTTTGGAAGAAAAGCTTGGAAAACTTGCTCCATCCCATGCTGTTGCTGGTCATATCTGTTCCTATTTTGTAGAGAGGTTTGTACGATAATTGTTTATTAACAATTTAACCCTGATTGTCTTATGAGAACTATTATCAACTTATTTGCAATTCTGCATTAATTGTCACAGTCAAAATAGGATTTACAGGATGTGATAAAATGGAGTTTTCAAGGTGTAAATTAGCTGATATTGAGTTTTAGATTTTAAATTTAAACAGATGGACATGGGCAATTATTTTTGCAGGTACAATTTCAATAAAGATTGTTTGGTCATTCAATGGTCCGGAGACAATCCTAATAGTTTAGCAGGTTCCGATTTCTGCAACTCACCTATCTTCTTTTTTATCTCTTTGTGGCAAAAAATTATGCTATGCTACTCAGTTGTACAGGCTTGTGTTTGACATATTAAAATGAGAAATCTTTTATCCCTGCCTGTCTTACTCGTGAATTACTGACCAAAAATCGATTTATTGAGTTATCAATTGGTTAACATTCTTCATTTAATCTTAGTTAAAAGCATCTTAAACCTTGCAGGTTTAACCCTCAGCAGACCTGGAGACCTGGTAATCAGCCTAGGCACCAGTGATGTTGTAAGTGACATTTATATTCTTTTCTTATATATACCATGGGCAGTAATTAAACATGTCAGTTTTCCTGATTCGTTATCCTTTTAAGTCTCTAATCTGCTGCCTGGTACATGTATACGGAAATAGAATGCTAAAGACTGGTTTTAGTCAGTAGTCAGCTTATGTATTTTAACTTTAATTTGTTAGTGTGTTTGGGTAGTCCATGTAGAGGCATCAAAGACCCCCATCTGAAACCATGGGTGTATTTTCATTTGAATTTGCGTGTGCAGGTGTTCGGCGTCACTAAAGATCCACAACCTAGATTAGAAGGTCATGTCCTCCCTAATCCTGTTGATCCAGAAAGCCACATGGTAATGTTGGGCCACAAGAATGGGTCTCTGATGCGTGAAGGTATTGCAGATTTCCTTCCCCTGTCCATGTGTTTCAGATCGATGTGAAGCCATTAATACTTACTATGACCCCCATCTTAAATCTAGATGTTCGTAACCGATGTGCTGAGAAGTCCTGGGATGTTTTCAATCAATTTCTGCAGCAATCACCTCCACTAAATGGTTAGAAATATGTTGTTTTATTTGCTTTTCCTGGGTATTTCCTGTTGCTTTTTTCTGTTCTGTTTTCTCATTCTAGTTCTTGCACTAGGTGGGAAGTTGGGTTTCTACTACAAGGAGCATGAAATCCATCCTCCCCTTCCTGGTAAGTTTCAAAACTCCAGTCTTGCTTGCGTTGGACAAAACTGAAACTATCATTATAGATCTGCAGTCCAGAATCTTACTTGAATCAGCGAGAACAAGATGGTTTCTTTGTGTATCTTAGAATTTTAGGCACAAAAACAACAGCTAAGAACTCAGATGCACATAGCATCAGCTTTAAAATGGAAGTGAAACGAAATGCTATTTTAATTTTATGGCAGCAATCTGCAAGCCTTTCAGCTTAATTTCTCAAAATATGACATAATTGACTAATGGGTTTCCCTTTTCTTTGTTGGTTTTTCCAGTTGGCTTTCATAGGTACATTCTTGATAATTTCACTGGTGAAAGTGAAACACTAGAGGGGTTGAATGAATTTGAAGTGCAAGAGTTCGATCCTCCCTCTGAGGTATTATTTCTTAATTGTCCATTTCCATAGACTGATGATTTTTCTTGGAAAACTCCCATGAAAAGCAATGCACATTTCGTTTCCAGATCCGGGCTTTGATTGAGGGCCAATTTCTCACAATGCGTGCTTACTCAGAGAAATTTGGTATGCCTTCTCCAAAAGGAATCATAGCTACTGGTGGGGCATCGGCTAATCAAAACATTCTGCACTCAATTGCATCCATTTTTGGCTGCAACGTTTTTACAGTCCAACAGTCAGGTATGCTGTCAGTTTCCATGTTTTCAGATTCAATCAAGTCTAAAACATCACTCTCCTCATCCAAAGGGTATAGTTTTCACCGAACTACCTTTCTGTCTGATCGCTTCACAGACTCAGCTTCTCTAGGAGCAGCAGTGAGGGCAGCACATGGTTGGCTGTGCAACAAGAACCGCAGTTTTGTGCCCATTACATGTATGTACGGAAGTTTGGAGAAGACATCCCTCAGCTGTAAGCTGGCGGTGACTCCTGGAGACCAGCAACTTGTTAACAAGTATTCCTTGATGATGAAGAAGAGAATGGAAATTGAGAGTCGTCTCGTGCAGAAGTTAGGCCGCTGCTAGCTAAAAATTAGAGTTCCTAGTTGTCTCAATAATATATAAATCAAATAGTGTGATTATCTAGTCTTTCTCTTAAGAAAATCACTCCTTTCCTCGCTATCATTTCCCCTTTTTTTTTTTTTTATTTGCTTGGTATCATGTAAATTTTTCAAGAAAGCAGTCTGTGCTTATTACATTATGAATTAAGGATGTATTAGTTTAAGTAAAAAAAATTTAATTTTTTTAAAATAAAATATTAAGTTTCAACCCTTGAACCTTATAAATGAATAAATAAGTTTAGAAGAACTGTTTTTTTTAAAAAGTTTGAAGCATCTAAATTAGTTGGAATCTAAGTTAAAAAAAAAAAAAAAGAAAAGAAGAAAAATGAAAAGTATCCTACGAAAAATGGAGAAGGGTTCACAATTAAAAGTGGATTATAAACTACGAGTAGTAAATCCGCTTTTTATCCCCCTTGACGAGAGCTTTCGCTTCATGACATGGGAGCTGCCGCACGGCTTCGGGCTCTTGCTTCCCCTTACTCCGCTTTATCTGTCTCCATTTTTGCCCTTCAATCCCATCTCATTCCTTTGATTTTGTTTTACCTTTCACCTCCATGTATACAAACCAAAAAGAAAACCCTAAAAAGGGATCTCTGATTTTCTCCTTCTCAATCCCTAATCCTCAACCTTTTACGAAATCTCCTTTCCAAATCACCGCTGTGGCATTGGGAAGTTGCTATTCTAGTCAAATCTTTGCTCAACACGTTCTTGTCAGTCTCAAAACCCTGAGATTTGTCATCTTTGAAGGCCAGGTCGTTGTCGAAGCCATTCAGCTATGGTTCGGGTATACGAGATTAAAGGTAATTTGTTGGAATTTTAAGGTGACTACTCTGTCACAGAGCCCTTTTGCTCAGATTCACTGTTTTGGCTTTAGCGTGTGGGTTTTTCAATTCATTGTTCAGAATTGGGCTTCAGGGATTTCGGGGGAGATTGTTCCAATTTTCTTAGCCTATTTCATATGCCAATCTCAGAATCATAGTCTGGTTTTGTTGATCTATAAATTGGCAGTAACTGCGTTCCCATAAAATAATGTTCTTATCTGGGCTATAGTTCTATTGATTATGATAAGATTTGAATTGTAGCTATTTCCGGTGACGCCCAGGGTTATACGTCTGACCTTTTGAAGGATAGTTTTGTTTTTGTTGAAGTTGGAGGGTTAATTCTGAGGTTTCAGGAGGTTTTTGTTATGATATTGGAAGGATTTTGAGCGGGGGCTTTCAAAGGAGAACTAAGATTTACGTTTGTGTTTCCTTTTCTTGTTATGTTATCCGGGGAAATAGAAAAATATTGCAATGCTTTGTCATGCGTTCGGTCTGGTATGTAGGTAGTATGAGTTGGGATTTTGAAGCACCCTTTTAGAGGGTAGTATGGATTGAATTGTTGAGGTGCTTTGCGGGGGCGTTTACTACCTGATGGAGCCTCGCACCTTATAGACAGGAGCTATTACCCAAGCACCATTAGGAATTAATTGGAGGCTAGACTTTCCACTGCTCAGACATGTAATATTAAATAAAATTTCTGAAGTAGAAGAAAAGAAACTGAGAGGAACTTACTTAACAAGCCCAGCAATCAAAGACCCTCTGCCAAGTTCACCTCCATGCTCTCAATGGGTTTTCTTTATTAACCGGCAGCCAAATAACAAGAGAAATAAAATTCTTTATTCATTGAAAAAAAAAAAAAAAGGAAACTGCCAAAGAAATTAAAATGAAAATGAAAGAAGGATTTTTACCTATAAACGGAAATCCAATGAATTCCGGTAAATTTTGTTGCCGGATGCCTCTCTCTCCCATGAACCATACTTCTTCCTCTCTCGGTTGCTGCTTTTCTTCTCTCACTCTCTCTTCTTCAGCCAGCAGTAGGAACAGATCCCGCATCTCCTTGGCTGATTATCCTCGATTGTCGATCCTCTTTCCTGTGTCTTATTCCTTACAGTCGTGGATCCTTCTGTCCTCTCCGTTCGAGTTTCCCCTCTTCTCCTCATCTGCCCGTCTCTTCTGCGTATCTGATTTGAGGAACAGATAAGAGAGTTCGCCAGACCCCCTGATTTAGTCAATTATTAATGCATGATTTTTGTGTTACTACAAAAGAAAAAAAAAAATCCTTCTTTCTTTAAATTTACAATTGAATCCTTCAACTTTGAACTGATTAACCCTTCGATATTAAATAATATATATTCAGTTCAATTCCGCTTCAAATATGCTGGATCTCCATTTTGTTAAAATTTTCAAATCATTTCTCCCTTATAAATATAAGAATGTGAATCCAAATATCCAACCATGAGTAGTGGAAGGATTTTAATTGTTGTTACTTCTCCTTTGAGTTTCACCCGGCACTTATGTTTCAAATATCTTACCCAACATGTAGTGTCGACACCGAACCCGTGTCAGGTTTCTAGATCCCTGCGCAATTTCTTCAATGGTGAAATGGTAAATCTGGTCCTCTAGCTTCTACATAATGATCACTTTGATTTTATAACTTCAAATTCATTTATTTAGGTCTCTGGTTACAACTTGTCCACCGAAAATATAGTCCCTTAAAATTTTAAAGTGCTTAAACCTCTATTATTATGCCTTCAAGACTTTTTCTGCACTAAAAATAAAAATTATGAAAAATCTATTGAAAATCATATCCTTTCCTCCAAATAACAACAAAATCTCTCAACTAAAGCATATAAAAGGAGTCCCATCACTAATAATAATAATAATAAAAAAAAACCTCTCAACTAGCAACCAATACTATTATAATTATAATATAAAAGTTAAAATTCTCAAGTCTCACTGCAAGTAATCAAGGAGCCTATAGGGGCATTTGTTTTGACCTATTGAAAACAACTATCAACCATTGGATTTAATCAAATGGGTTAAATAGACTTGGCAAATGGGTAGGTCAGGCTAGGTTAGGTTAGGTTAGAACAAGTTGGGTTAAAATGAGTAATGGGTCAACGATGGCTGACCCCAAACTGCCCATCATGGGTCATGAGTCAACTTGCAGACCCGATTGAGTTTTTTTCCTTTTTTTCTCTATAATTTGTAACTATTACTATCCAAAGAAAATTATTCAAAATATTTAAAAATGAAATTCAACATCTTATAAAAAGGTTTTTTTTTTTCCATTAATTTAATAAAACATATTTATAATTCGTCAAAGTCACTTTCTCCACTTCCCTTTAAAGAACAACATTCATCAAATTTGAGAACACTACACACTTATAAATCTCGATAGAAAAAAAGAAAAAAAAATGCAGTAGTAGCATGACAACCAAAGAACACAAACCCCATTGGAACATATTTGTGTTGGTCATTGCTTTTAAAGAATCAATCAATTGAATGCCTTTGAGTAAGTAAAGGAGAATATCAAGTAGAATTTTACTTGGAATGGAAAGAAAACTAAAACGTATAAACAAGTAAACAACTTACCTTGAAGGCTTTAGAGAGAAACGTTTGTGACAAAAAGAGCACTTATCAAACTCAAAAGTGAAAGAAAGAAAAGGCAAGGCTGAATCGACATGATAGTGACTTGGTGAGACTAAATCTAAGTTTGAGATGATGTTAAAGACTAAATAGAAAAGGTGGAGTCTGAGCTTGAAAGTCAAATGCTATATGAACTATGGAGGTTGAAGAATATGAGAAGAGTTTGAACTTTGAAGAGTTAGAGTTTTAGAGAGTATTAAAGGAAGCAAGAATAGAAAAGGTTGGGAGGTGAGTCATGAGTGAAGTGAGATTATTTTTGCTTCTAGAAGATGATGAGCTAAGAGAATCAATTAGCCAATTAGGGAGAATTAGTCAATTATTAGAGGTTTAGGTGGGATTAGGAATTGGAAAACAAAATAAATAAATAATAAATTAAAAAATTTTAAAGTTTCAAATGAGTAAACAAGTCAAGCCCATTAACTCAATGGGTCAACCGTTATTGACCTGTGACCCATTCAGTTCTCTAACCGGGTCATTAATGGATCATGGATCATTAATGGATCACAGGTCATGAATATCTAACCCTAACCCATTTTAAACAAACGAGTAATGCATGGGTTAGCGGATTGGGTAAAAAATTATCAAGTCTATATATTTTGAATTATAAATATAAAAAATTATTAATTGTTAGATATTAACTATCAACTATCAAATGTTTCGAAAAAAACTAATCCAAACAACTTATATATAAAAGAGTTATGAAATGTTCAACCATGAGTAGTGGAAGTGGAGGAACCTTATAGATAAAGCAAAAGGTGCAATTTGGTTCTTGTACTTGCAATTTTGTGGCAAGTTAGCCCTTGTACTTTAAATTATGGGAAATCAACTTCTTTAATTCATGAAATCCTCAAAACAACCCTTTTAGTAAATATGACATCATCCGATCATTAAATTGTTCCATTGCCTGTTAAAGTCTAATAAGTTGGCATTGATTGGGCAATCTTGTGAACCAAATTTACTCAACTTGAGTCAAAACATTACAGGCATGATATAGAGATAATCTTTCTGTATAACCTTTGTATACAATTTTCATATGTCATTAAATATTTGATGCACTCAATATCATGTGTCCTGAATGAATAAAATGAGTCAATTATTTAAATAATATCATGGGTCCCAAATGAATAAAAAATGAATAAAATGAGTTAATTATTTAAATAACATATAAGGTTATACCAAAAGGTAGTAAAATCCATAAATAATTTTCCAAACATCACATTACTATGTTAAATAACCCAAGTCTAATGAATTTGATTCATGCATTGCCCAATTATTGCCCAATCAACACTAACTCTCAAACTTTAATGTTAAATGGAATAGTTTAACGATTGGATGACATCACCTTAACTAAAAGACTTGTTTTAAGGATTTCATGAAGTAAAGGGACTAATTTGCCATAGTATAAAGTATAGGGGCTGACTTACCATAACATTGCAAGTATAGGGGCTGAATTGCACCTTTTGCCTACAAATAATTGTTATCTAATAACAAATCATTTAGTCTAACTTAATAAGAGAACATTTTGTTAATTGGTACTTTTTATAAAGAGACATTGTGGGGGTTCTAATACTTCCCCATGCGTAACTGGACTCTCAAACCCAACTCTCACTTAATAAACTGAAATTTACTTATTTTAAATAAGTAATAAAATAGGTGACCAATCATATCTAATACAAGATTGGTTGCAACTCCAAACAATTTATCGATTCATCAATTCTCAAACAACCAATATAGAGCACCACTCACGTCGGGACCCCCTTTCAAGACGTTGCAACATAACAGCTTTGTGATAAATTTGACTACAAATATGTACTTAATCTCTAATAATTTTAGTGAGAATTTTAGCCTTCCTATTTTAGGTTATTGTAGATGCATAACCTATTCTTTAAACCACACAATAAAGGAATATTTACATCCAAGAAAACAACACTTGAACCTAATCTAGTCCAAAGATCCATAGAAGGATAAAATCTAAAGATATGATCAATGGACTCAATCTCATCTTTACAACGAGTGTAAACAGGTTAGAAGTTATACTCAACTGATGAAGAAATTCAAATGACTTAAATCTCTCATGCGTAGGAGCCATAGAAAGTGTTGAATCATAGGCCAGGAAGGAAGAAAAATTAACTTCCATCAGAAGAACCTTTTTAAGAAGTCACATCATCCCTAGCAACAATGATAGAGATTAGGATAGCCCTCATCTGATCTAAGAAATTCTGAGGAAGATCATAGGCAATGTCATTCCTATAACCATTATTAAGAACATAAGCCAAAGTGAGATCCTCCCACCTAGCAATCATACCAAAAAGAAATGGATTGACCATTCCTAAAAGTGCAATGGATTCATTTTTTGAATAAAAGGTTGCCCAAATTTTAAAGTTCTGAGAGTTGAGAAACCATGACAGGAAGCTGATCATGGGGTCAAAGTGTAGTTACTAAAAAATACAGAGCTTCAAGGTCCATTTGGTTTGCAGAGAATGATTTTAGGTTATAAAAATATTTTCTTTTTTTTTTTTCTTTTGATCTTGGTTGCATAATAAGGGGCAACCATCTCTCATCCCTTATTCCACCCCATCTGTATACCATGCAACTTAAACTCATGACTTCTTACTTCCAACGAAAGAAAATGACCACTGAACAATTTAGGTTATTGGCTATTTTCTTTCTTTTTTAAAAATTGTTTTTTATTGTTTGGAACACTTTGGAAAACTTTCTATGGAAAATATTTTCTATTGTTTGGTGAGGAAGGAAAATGCATCAACGTGCGTGCTGTTTAGGAATAAACGATGCTAGATTTCTTTCACCACAGGGACCATTTTGAACACTATGGAAATTAGTAGGACTTATTTAGGTTTCTCAATAAAGTAAAAGGACTTAAATTTGCAAAATTTCACATGTGGCAACACCAGCGAGTTCGTTTGACGGAGATTCGGGCCGGATGGCCAGCGTGCTTTTGGAGAAATTAATTTCCAGATTTCATTTCTGAAAAATCAAGTTTAACTTTTTCTTTGATCAAAATTTATTTTTTTGACCTATTTTTTAAAAGGTGTTTTAATAATAAAAAATATAAAAAATGATTTTCAGAAATTATTATATGAAGGACCAAATGGTCCCCCCAATATTTTTCATTTTTAGAGTGTAGCAACAAGTATATTTACGTTGTGTAAAAAAAAAAATCTTCCCAAAACATAGTCAATTAAAAAAGGGAATCTTTCATCGGAAAAAAAAATGGTAATCCAGCTAAGGTAAGATAAACATCAACCTCGCGCTGACGAGGTCTATATTTTATCTTTCCTCCATCCTCGTTCATCAATCACCATCACATACGTAGAATCTATTCATCATTTTTGTTTTTTCTTTATGATTACCAGTATCCATCTTTCTTTTTTTGTTTTTTGTAGTAAAGGAGTAGTATCTATCTAATCTAAGTATCCAATAATCCTAATTAATAGGAGTCTCTATTTATACTTGTTGATCAATCACCATTAATTTTTTTTTTTTTTTTGATCGGCATCGATCATCATGAAAATACATAGTATTTATCTAATTACCCAATAATCCTAATTAATTGGAGTTATCACATTAATTAATAGGAGTGCTCGTCATCCTCTCCTCTCACCTCGGCAAATTATTCGTGGCCTAATTTTCTTCAGGGTAATGATGATGATTGGGTCGAAGTTTTGAGGTCGAAAAAGCAGTTGAACAACATGACCTGCTACGTTATCCACTTGCCTGGCTTTTTTGCAAAAAAAAAAAAAAAAAAAAAAACAAAATAGGAAGGGTTTCAACCTTCATTGTTTTTCACTTCGCATGGGGAGCATTACAAGATATTGTCTAGAGGATCTGAAGTTCATAATAATTCTGTCAAGTTTCAGGGAAAAATTGAATGTTTTTAATTTGCATGAGCTTGTATCTTGCCATTGATTGAGAAGATTAAGTTCATTTCTTTGTAACTGCTAATAAACTATTAAAGTTTAGTTTATGTATATGTATCATATAAATTACAAATACTCTTTTATTAATAAAATGACCTTTTTTTTTTTTATTACTATCATTACTCTTATACAAACTCTTTTCATTGATTAATAACATTACTCTCATACTTATAAATCCCTTAGAACACAATGACAATGTTAATGTTTCATAACTCTAACTAAAACCAAGAATTATGCCCATTACAAGTAAAAAAAAAAAACAAAAAAAAAAAGGAAAAAAGAAAGAAAGAAAGAAAAGTTATGCATTACAACCATCAATAAAAATTTATCAACAAAAAATTATGTATGTTCAGAAATATCAAAACTACTTTCTTTAAATCCACCATAGCAATTGACTTTCTCCTCCATTATGATATAGGACAATCTAGAAAACATCATTTCTCAACTGAAAAGGAGCCATCAAATATGGAATTTGTTATGGACTTGACGGAATTCTATAAATGAAGAAATGAACAAATCAATAAAAACAACTATAAATATACAATTAAAATATTAAAAAACCAATAATTAAAAAAATAATAATAAGAATGAATATAGCCCGTAATAGATAAAGCATATCTTGTTAAAAGGGTGCGCATGGAGAACATTATCCTTTGAAATTAAAACAACATTTGTTGAGAAAAGAATGGCAAAAAGAAATTACCTCTATTTAATAAAAAAAGAATGGAAGAAAAAGGAATTGGTATGGTATGGACCAAAATTCCCTAAAACCGCCTAAAAAA